TTGCCACAATGGGAATTTCAGTTTACCAAATGTTGTTGAATTATTTGTCAGCCTCAAATTCTAAGCCAATTAGCAAATGGTCTTTGGTTTCAAGATTAGTCAACAAGGGTGTAGATCAAGGCAATACTGTAAATGAAATAGAAAGTGTTGATGCTGCATTAAGCAGTCTTTCCAAGTGTGGTCCTAATGAAATGGAAAAGATCCAATTTGTGCAGAGCAAATTGGAAAGAGTGGAAGCTCATTTTGAATGCATTGAGAAGGGTCTTGACAACATCTTTAGATGTTTGATCAGATCAAGAAGCACACTATTAAATGTTGTCTCTTGCCAATGAAAATAGTATTGTATATCATAAGCATCCGAGTATTGTAGGACATGTTTATGAAAACCTTGTAAAGGAAATTTTTTGTAATTATACATATACGGAATCTTAGTTATACTCACAAACTCTGCCTGTCTTTCTCGTGTATCTTTCTAATTTACCATCAACAACAATCTGGCAAGGAACTTAGATATATATACTTTGGTTAAATCCACGAAATGCTTCCTTGAATGAACAACTTAATTTGACTCATGTTAACTTGATATTTTTGAGGGGTTCGTTTTACTATATCATTTTTATTTTAATTATTTTTAAAGTAATCTAAGTTAAACTAATAATATCGGAAGAAAGAAAAAAGAAATCTAGCATAGTCCATATATATGTAAAAAAGGAAAATTAATTTTTAGTATATGAACCACGTAAAATGAAATGATGAAAGTAATAAAGGTACCTCTAAAATGTCCTACGTACTTAATCTTAGTAGTGCAAATAAAGGACATGGCGGAAATGATGATCTCATGAATGATGGTATTATGTTGAGTTTTTTTTTACTAAAAAAAAGAAGAAATTAGCTGTATTTAAACGGACCAAGGAAACATCTATGCAACATGCCACTCGTGCACTAAAATATGTATTATTCGTCTCTTATCTTCTTAACCACTGAATCTATTTATTAATTAGTGAAAAAAAATATAATCACGAGATTCTTCCTTAGTTTAATTAGATCACAAATCCTTGGAATGCTTATAACCTATTACCTATTCTTCTCTACATTTGTTGATTTTTAAAAAAAAAAATATTCTTCCATAATCTTTTTGAATGATACAAATAAACCATTATCAAAATCCGTCTTTAACAATATCAAATTAAATTATCAGGAAGAAATCAGTGATCTTAGTTAGGAGTTAATCCATCACAAAATGGGGGAGGATACATTTATAATAACGCGTTAATTGGAATTAAGCAGTTTATAAGTATACTATAAAGAAGAGGATTGTACTCTCCAGGTTAGACAATATATATTTATATGGATTGCTAAGTTAATTATCATGGACAAACAAATCCAAATTTCCATTCGTGCGCAATTTAAAATTTTGTCTCATTATTCTTAATCTCCATTATGATCAGTTGACTAATATAATATAATATAATATAATCATATTGATTGTTGTCTCCTTCTGGTTTCAAAGAATTTCACTCCTCCAGCTAAGACAACAATGTACTAGCAGACAAAATTGTAGAAAAAATATATATATTTTTAAAACTAACACATGAGGTGGTTGAACTGGCGCAATGCCCGGGAGGAAGGGAGCCTAGTATTTACTCGTGGCTTCATCTAGATGATCTTGTCATACCATCTCATAACTAGAACAAATTAAATAATTAGCAAATTATTGGTTTTTGTTGCACAACTAATGTGACAGGTCAACTAGGTTAATGGACTGCCTACAGTAAAATCACATATTAATCCGCAAATATTTGGATATCGCTAGTAACTCAGTTGGTTAACTATGTCATATTTTGAAAATTACTTTTAGAAATTTAGTAATCACATTTTGTGAGGAAGGTAACCAACAAGCCATACGTGTAGTAATATCACCTTTGCCACAGTAGCATTAGAGTTTCCTTATCCCTTCAATATGTAATCTAACTTTTTTAAAGTTGTTTCTGAAAAAGACGTTCAATAAGCAATAACAGATCTTAATCTGAATTTAATAATGGAGCTTTGCTGTTACCGATCATTGACAAACTATGGCTCCTCCAACCAAAACAATATTAAGAAGCCACGTATTTGCTGAGACATCTTTTATGATCAACAAGCAATAGGGTAATGCAAAGTGGCACAATAAGCGATGCCCATTCTCTTTTGTCACATGCCAGTCTAAATAACAGAGTACTCTGTTTATTGTCGCTTTCTATACAATTTTAGTATAAATAGGATTCAGGCTCCAAGGCATTTAATCATATCCCCAAACTTTAAGTCCCAAGTCCATAGAAAAAATGGCAAGTTTTTCATCAAAATCCAATAAAAGATCCATCAGTTTGCCAAGCAGATCACATCCAGTTACTGAGAATATTGAAGAGGAGCTCAACAAGCTTAAAACTTGGGAATTCTCTGCTTCACCAACTGCAGAAGCTGTTTATAATGGTCTAGTTGGTTTTGGGGAGGTGCATAAGTGTATGGGTGATCTTTTAAACTTGCCCTCGACTCTTCAATCCCTTTCCCAGTGCCAAAATAAGAAATGGGTCGATGAAATCTTGGATAAATCTGTGAGATTTCTTGATATTTGTGGCACAACAAGGGACCTTATGTCACAGTTTAAAGAAAATGTTAAAGATGTTCAGTCCTCACTGAGGAGGAGAAAGGGAGATTTGAGTATCAACAACTACACCACATTCAGGAAGAGGATGAAGAAAGAAGCCAAAAGTTTAATTACAGCTTTGAAAAGAATGGACCATGAGGAAGTAGTTGTTGTAATGGAAGTTGATGATCAACTTGTCTCAGCTGTTATCAGAATCCTAAGAGAAGTTACCACAATAGGAATTTCAGTATTCCAAATGGTGTTGAATTTCTTGTCAGCTCCAATATCTAAGCCAATTAGCAAATGGTCTTTGGTTTCAAGATTGGTGAACAAGGGAGATCAAGACAATGTGAATGAGATAGAAAGTGTTGATGCTGCATTAAGCAGCCTTTCCAAGTGTGGTCCTAATGAAATGGAGAAAATCCAGTTTGTGCAAAGCAAATTAGAAACAGTGGAAGCTCATTTTGAATGCATTGAGAGTGGTCTTGACAACATCTTTAGATGTTTGATCAGATCAAGGAGCACACTACTAAATGTTATCTCTTGCCAATGAAAATAGTAGTAGTATTGTATTTGCATTATTGCATAAGCATCCGAATATTGTAGGACATGCTTATGAAAAGCCTTGTGAAGGAACAATTTTTGTAATTACACATACAACAAAAACATACATATATAAATCATAGTTATACTCACAAACTCTGCCTCTCCTTTTTTCTTCTCTCTTTTCTATTTTTATCAAACAAAAATCTGGCAATGTACTTAGATATATACTTTGGTTATATCTTTGATGAACCAATTAGTTAATTCTTTGTTGTTCCAAGGCCCTGAAGAGTGTACCTAGATGGTTTTTTTTTTCATTTACCAAATCAAACCAAATATGTCGATTTTTTTTAATCTATAAAGCAAATCAAACCAATAAGATTATGTTTTTTTCAAACCAACGAATTCAGCCTTTGCTTCCACTATCTCCAAACCACTCTATGGGTTTTAGAGATGGCAATTAGGGCAAACTCTTAATGTGGCGGAGCTGGGCTAAACATAATTTTTGAGAAAAAAATCAAGGTCCGAACGGGTGAAAAAGGAAAGTGACCCGCTTTTATCCTAGACAATAATATATTCATCACATCTTCCACACAATCAAATATACAACCATGTTGAAATAGATATCCTAACTATCCATTGGGATATTAATCTCTATAGACGAAGAAACCTATAAATATTGTGAAAGAAAATTAACTACTATATGATAAATGTTTGTACATTTTGATTTAGAATTCTACTGACAAAATAAAAATACATCAACAATAAAATAATTACAAATTATTGTAATTGATTAAGAAAAATACATAGAGAACTATATTTATTACAAAAAAAATATATAATTAAACACAACTTCAATTTTTACATTTTCACATAAGAATTATTTTTAATTTTTTTTATCCTCATGACCAAACATCTACTTAATGTTATTCGGCATTTTCGCTGCATGTGTCCAAGAGAGTTGTTTATTAGTGTTGAGAAGGTGAAAAAGTGATTTTTATGATAGAACCAATAATTATAAGCATTAATTTGGAGATTCTCTAGGTAGAAAACATGGAGGAAATAAGTATCAGCACAACGTGCACACTAAACTAAATTATATTCGTCATTATCTTCTCATCTCCTTTTTTTATTTGTGAAATCTCAAGATTCGTCTCCCTCTTTATTGGCTTTTTTTTATTTTAAGGGGTATTTATCCATAATCTTTTTGCATGATACAAATAAACCATCAATCAATCTTTCTTTTAACACTAATTATACCGACCTTTAGCATTGTATATCCTCCACCACTAACTAACAATTATTAGGGGGAAATTAAAAGTGTTTGGTGCAAATAATCATCAACTGAGCATTAATTAAAACGTGTTGTATAAGGGTCTACCTCACTTTAGTATGCTGTGGATGGCAGGGAACATTAGAAGAACAAGCCACTCGTGCACAGCTATTTATTAATCATATCACCTTCTTTCATTATACGCCTTGATTTGCACCACATTTATTTGCACTTCAGCCATTTATTATTGAACACGAAGTTCTTGAGCCAACGTGTATTCGCGTGCCAAATCGAATACCGCGTTGGAGCCACATGGTAGACATATTATTAATTGTCATCCGGTAGCAATGGCACAACTCTTGGCAGCCAGGAGGGAGCTGACCTGTAACTGAAGTCCCGTATGAAGGCAAAGTTACACAAATCTTTTAAAAGGACAATTGATTAGAGTTTTTGTTTGCTAAATGTATATCACTTCACCACATTTAAAGGGCATGGCCACATTACAATAACATGCTCAGAGTAGTAGACCCCCTTTTTATGCTTATATAAATGTCCTTGGTTGATGCTCATTGCTCACCAAATTTATTCTCTCTTCTCACAAAGAAACTAAAAGTAAAACATAAAAAGCCATGGCTGCTCTTGCTTGTTCAAAAACCAAGCCTTTTCGATCTATCAGTTTGCCCAACAGATCACACCCCACAACTCAGAGAGTTGAAGAGGTACTGAATAAGCTTAATGGATTGGAGACATCAGTTGCACCAACATGGGAGACAATTTGTAATAGTTTGCTCGGGTTGGAGGAGTTACAGAAGTGCACGGATGATCTTCTTAAACTGCCTCAAACCTTTCGGATCATATCCCAATGCCAACATGTTAAATGGTTTGAGGAGTTATTGGGAAACTCGGTTAGGATTCTTGATATTTGTGGCACTATAAAGGAATTCGTCTCTCAGTATAAGGAAAATGTAAGAGCTCTTCAATCTTCACTCAGAAGACGAAAAGGAGATTCAAGTGCAGAAGCTGGAATTGCAAGATTCACCAGTTTCAGCAAGAAAATGAAGAAGGATGCCAAAAGATTAGTCTTGTCCTTGAAGCAATTAGTGGATTGTGAGACTCTCACCGCAACAATATTCGTGGAAGCAGATCAGGAGACAATAGCTGTGATTAGAGCACTAAGGGAAGCCAATGCAGTTTGCATTTTGATTTTCCAAATGCTCTTGTCCTTGTTGTCTTTGCCACTTTTGAAGCCCAAGCAGCCAAAATGGTCATTGGTTTCAAAACTGATACACAACGGAAGAACAGAACATGAAGGCCTAGAAAACAGTACGATCTTGGAAACAAAAGTGGAGACTTTTGAGGCTCAACTTGACGACATTGAGAAGGGATTAGAAGGAGCATTTAGGAGCCTGATTAGATCAAGAAGCTCGCTCCTGAATGCTTTCTCCAGCTAATCTGGAAGTTCCTACTCCATTAACTGTATAGTTGTTCACCACACTTTGTACATGTGTATTAATTTTGTACTTATGCTAGAAATATATATATATTACACGAATTGAAAGACTATCTGACTCCCTTCTCCCATTACCTAGCTAAGAAACATCAATCTGTAAAATCAAATCAACTATGATAAGTATCTCATGGGTTATAACTTAAAGACAATTTCGAGTTTCCTAAAAAGACTTTAAAAACTTGCTTGAGCTTGGATTTCCAATGTTTCAGTGTTTCTAGAAAATTGATTGACTGAGTTAATTTACCATTTTCTGCACAAACTAGTCTGAAAATAACTTAATAAGCCACTCGTGCACATCTATGTAAAGTTAGAAACTATCTTTACGCGTCTTAAATTTTATTTAGAGTATCTTAGAAGACGATCAATTTCAGAAATATGTGCAGTAAGTTTCCTCGTTAATTAGGTGCGAGCCTAGAGTGTAATTATGGAAGACATGTACCAATTTACTAATGGAACAGAAACTCATGAAAAATAAGACAACATTAAGCAAATCCACATAATTAATTTAATTTGATCAACAAATGTATTGCACAAACGGCCACTTTACCAAAAACAAGTAGTTTGGATCGAACCAAATCGACAACTCAACCTCTGCATCTTAATTGTGAGGCGCACCTGACAGGTGCCTTACAAGGCGCACCCGCCTTGCGCTAAGGCACATGTCAGGCTACACCTTACACAAACAATTTCACGGTGTTTGCCTTCCGTCCAAATTGCCCTTTTGGTTTGAACCTTCTTTTTATTGCCTTTTTGAAATTTTTGCTCAATTTTTTTTGCCCTTTTAACTTCGAACTCCCTAATACCGACCTCTAGCTTTGTATATCCTCCACCAGTAACCTCTGAGACAAGTCTATTTCTAACTGATAATTAGGGGGGAAATTAGAAGTGTTTGGTGCAAGTAAAGATCAATTGAGCATTAATTAAAACGTGTTGTATAAGGGTCCACCTCACTTTAGTCTGCTGTGGATGGCAGGGAGCATTAGAAGAATAAGCCACTCGTGCACAACTATTTATTTATTAAAACATCTTCTTTCATTTTCTTTTCTTTTTTGTTTTTTCTTTTCCTCCGATGTTGATATTCATATTGGAGTCTGATGAAATTCAAATTCGCATCGGGTCCCACATTGGGGTAAAGGCTCCCTACAAATGCGATTCCGTACCTAGAGTTCGAACTTGAGACCTATTCATTAAGAATGAAGGAGTACTAAGTATTTCATTACCACCTTGTCGGTCATACCACCTTCTTTCATTATACCCCTTACCCTGAATTAGCACCACATATAATCTATGTTGGGTATGTAGCAAGAGTTAATGGGAAATTGAGGGAAGATGAAAGAGGAACTTGGAAAAAGTTGGAAACTTGAAAAGTTGAGAACTTGAAAAGTCCTCTTATGCTTTATTGAAAAGACATTTGTCCCTCATCGGTGGTGGAAAGAAAAATAGGAGAGTTTAAATATAGAAACACTCCTATTAATTGTTAAAAGGGTTGGAAAGAGAAACCCCCCTCGCGCCGTCGTCGTCGCTCGGCTTCGGATTTGGTTTTGGTTTTGGTTTTGGTTTTGGTTTTGGTTTGACCCGACTCGGATCCACGCGCGATCCGTTTAATTTAAATTTTTCCCGTTTTATTTAAATTTCCCGCAGTGACTGTTCTAAAAGGTTGCAACTTTCAGAAACAGCCATGACCGTTTGAAAGGTTGCAAACTTTCATGAATGGTCATGTGGATTCTGAAAGGATTGCAACCTTTCAGAACCAGTTCCTCTTGCCTATAAATACATTGATTCTTCAGATTTATTCCCTACGAATTTTTCTGATTTCTTCTTCTTCTTCTGCACAAAATTTCTTCGTGTACTTTACTGCTGTTGAGTGGTTCGCTGACACCAGCGTTTTGGGTATCAATACACTGGTGATTGAGATCATTCTATCCTGGGAGGACATATTCCAAATCAAACCTCGGATACTAGAGGGGAATAATTTCCTTAAGGGGACACTGTGCATTTAGTGGGCTTGATCTTTTTCTGATTCTGGTTTTTTCAGATTGTGGTACGTTTATTATAGATTTTAGTTTTTTCAATTAATTTTTGTTCATCTATTCTTACTGGTTTATTAAACTTTGGTTACTTCGTGTTTCTGCAAAGTTTATTGAAATCAGTAATTCTGATTTTTTATACACAGATTAATAACAATCTACCCTTTAACCATTTATTATTGAGCCGCGTCAACCGTGTGCCAAATTGAATATTCCAATAATATTTGATACCGGACCAAGGGAGCCACATGGTAAGCATATTATTAATTGCCATCCGGCAGCATTGGCATTTGGCAGGGAGCTGACCTGTAACTGAAGTCCCATATGAAAGCAAAGTCACACAACTCTTTTCAATTTTAAAACAGTGAAGGCTAATAAATGACAATTATTTAGAGCCTTTGGTTGCCAAAAGCGTGTCATTTTACCAATTTAAAGGCATATCCACATGGCCACATTACAATTCACATGCTGAGCGTCCCCCTTGTTGTGCCATCGACCTATATAAATGTCCTTTGGTTGATGCTCATTGCTCACCAAATTTATTCTCACTTCTCACAGAGAAAAAAGTAAAACAGAAAAAGCTAGCCATGGCTGCTCTTGCTTGTTCAAAAACCAAGCCTTTTCGATCTATCAGTTTGCCCAACAGATCACACCCCACAACTTAGAGAGTTGAAGAGGTGCTGAATAAGCTTAATGGATTGGAGACATCAGTTGCACCAACATGGGAGACAATTTGTAATAGTTTGCTCGGGTTGGAGGAGTTACAGAAGTGCACGGATGATCTTCTTAAACTGCCTCAAACCTTTCGGATCATATCCCAATGCCAACATGTTAAATGGTTTGAGGAGTTATTGGGGAACTCGATAAGGATTCTTGATGTTTGTGGCACTACAGGGGAACTCATCTCTCAGTATAAGGAAAACATAAGAGCTCTTCAATCCTCATTCAGAAGACGAAAAGGAGATTCAAGTGCAGAAGCTGGAATTGCAATATTCACCAGTTTCAGCAAGAAAATGAAGAAGGACGCCAAAAGATTAGCCTTGTCCTTGAAGCAAGTGGATTGTGAGACTCTCCCCGCAACATTCCTGGAAGCAGATCAGGAGACAATAGCTGTGATTAGAGCACTAAGGGAAGCCAATGCAGTTTGTATTTTGATTTTCCAAATGCTCTTGTCCTTCTTGTCTATGCCACTTTTGAAGCCGAAGCACCCAAAATGGTCATTGGTTTCAAAACTGATACACAATGGAAGAATAGAACTTGAAGGCCTAGAAAACATTACGAACATGGAAACAAAAGTGGAGACTTTTGAGGCTCAACTTGACAGCATTGAGAAGAGATTAGAAGGAGCATTCAGGAGCCTAATTAGATCGAGAAGCTCACTCCTGAATGTTTTCTCCAGCTAATCTGGAAGTTCCTACACCATTAATTATATAGTAGTTCACCACATTTTGTAAATGGATAATTTTGTACTTACGCTAGAAATATATATTACACGAATTGAAAGACTATACTCAAATTAGAAAAGGTATTTTTCTGAATTCAAAGTGAATAATGCAGACCAGAATCTATTTTCCTGCCAGGAAGTGGATCTTTTGTGTTATTATCTTTTCTTTGTAAGGTTATTAGTTTCAAAACGGTTTTCTTGGTAACAGAGAAATCCTTCAAGATGAGTGGCAACAGCTTGTTGTGGTAATTCTTTGGATAAGTATAGTTCCTTTAGGCCTATTAAAGTGATTTAACAGCACTAGTTAGTTACAATTATTTTCATTCATGTAGTTCGTGGATTATTAGTCCCCTTTCTGTACTCTTCTACAAATCGTCTAAATACTATGTTTTCTCATTGCGTTAAGACAAAATGATGAAATTAAAAAAAAAAAGATGAACATGAATTCAGCGGAAACAAAGAAGAAATCTCACCCGAAAGGACATACAAACACAAACATACACAAGTGAGTGACGTGCATAGGATGAAGAGAGGGAGGGAATTCTCCTGTATATTTTATGTTTCCATTTCAACATACTTTTTCTTTTATAATTTCTCACGCAGTGGGGATACATTTACAGAAGTTACCACTTGGCTAAGGGCCTCATTGGCCCATTTTGGTAATTTGCTCCTGCACTAGACATTCATTCTCCGTATTAACTTTACTAATACAGTTTAAATCAAATTATTCTTTTTAGTTGTTTTCAGGAGTACAAATTTTTCACATGATTTAGTATCGTCCCAATGAGCGAGGATTCATAACCCAACCTCAATTGATTGGAGATTGAGTCTAGTTATTTTTTTGTTTTCAGGTGCACCAATTGTTCATCACATACACAACAGGAATTCATAAATTCACATTGGAATTTAGCATGTTAAAGCATCATACGGAATTGATCAAACAAAAATTTACCTATCTTCACTTGAACCCGAGTTTTCATTACCAAATACCCTTCCGTCTACAGCCAGCAAAACAGAACCATTTCAATCACACCTCGTTACACAATGTCAAAACATTGTTCATCAGCCATCCATACAATATTTTCCATGAAAATAAAAAAGCACCTATATAAGGAAACCAAAATTTACCTGGTGACTTCATCACAACTAATTCCATCCCTCTATAACTTTCTTTAAATTCTGGAATATATTATGAAAAACAAAATCCTTTCGTGTGTCAAACCCAAATCTAAAATTCAAAAACTTGATCAGAAATTGACATTAATTTCAATCAAGACAAGTGATTATTGTCTATGAAACTCAAAACTATAAGGACTATTTATTTTACCAGAAAATCAACGAGAAGAACTATTTAAAGCAAAAAAAATAAAATATTCTCTGTGGAAAGAAACGAAGAACTAAGAGCTTAAAGCCTGTGTTTTGTGAGCTTACCTTGCCTGAGACAAAAAGGAACTGAAGAAGACGGAAAAGAGACGGAAACGAGGGGGAGATAGACAGGTTCAGGTAAAATTAGAAGGGTATGAACTCGGCCCGTGTGTGTCTATTCATTCTTGGACCGGGCTGATTTCGCGGCCCGAATAGCAGCTTTTGACATAGCTTGCGTTTGGAATGTGATATAAAGTCTCAGGTAAGATTTCAAATCACCATTTGGAGGCAATCTCAAATTCTTCAAAAAGCATGAAAATCATTAACCGTCCACATCATGTTGCTTGCATGAGAAAATTTTGCTATGGAGTAAGGCAATACATGGGAACCTGGATCTTCAGAAACAACATGTGCTGGCTTAACTAGAAGAATTGAAGAAAATCCAAAATCACAGGTCTCAGTGGGAAGATAATATAGCTGCAAAAATGGCTTAGTTTGAAGGAATTGCTAGAAAAGAAGAGATTGCTTGAAGACAAAGGTCTAGGGCAACATGGCTTAAGGCGCCTTTTGAGCCTCATGAGATCGTGGACAACATCATAGTTTGTGTTGAGGACAAGTTCCCAGGTCCAGATGGCTTCTTTGAAACACTGTTGGGAAATCACTAAGAAGACTGGTAGCACTGGTAGAGAACTTCCATGATAAGGTGGTTTTCTTGAAGAGCATTAATGCAACCTTTGTTGCATTGATCCCCAAGAAAGTAGGAGCAATGGTGCTAAATGACTTTAGACCTATCAGCCTATTTGGGGGAGTCTACAAAATCATAGCAAAATTGTTGGCAGAGAGACTCATGAAGGTGATCAACTGTTTAGTGGATAATTAACAAATGACTTTCATTAAAGGAAGACAAATAATGGATGCAGTGGGGATATCAAATGAGTGTGTAGAGTATTGACTCAAGACAGAGAAGCAAACAAACCAGGGGTGGTATGCAACTTTGGACTTGTCAACTAATCCAAAGTTGTTTGGGTCACACAATGATGTCGAGTTGTTGTATCCTGGAGGGGACGAATCAAGGGTTGTACTGTTGAATCAGTGTAGATTATACTGCAGTGGAGAGCGGGACATCCACGCCTCATCTTGAATGTTTATTTATTCATATATGTTCATTTTATTTTCAACTGTAATTTGTGGTATATACATACACCAACCGTATGCTGTTGTTAATTCCTTAAATATTGCATAATACATCATTCTCCATATTGCCTACATTAGTTTGGACACCGAGTCTTTGGTTCTCCAGTCTGCAACCATAAAAAGAATAGGGTATAACCTGTTGCTTAGAAATTTTTGGCAATAATTTTACTCATTGGCCGTGGTGCAATTTATTAATAAATTAGTTTTCCTTTTGCAAATCAAAATGGCAAATACGTGTATAAATTAAATATCCACAACATTTTAGATCTTCTAATTTGTATTTTGTATTATCAATGGACATCCACGCTGTTAGCATCGTGATGCGACAATGCTTAGTAGTTAGGGAAGGGGCAACCTGTAACTGAACCCCATATGAAGGCAAAGCCACATAATTTATTCATTTAAATGACTAACTATTAGAGCTTTTCACTTCTGTTTGTCAAATGCGGAGTAATTTACCAAATTTCAAGGCATACCACATGACCACATTTTTTCTTCTTGAAGGCTTACTTGCTTGTATAAATGAACTTGGCTTCTCTGTAAAAAGCATGGCATCCGATATTTCAAAATCCTAAATCCGCCTCTGCTAGTTAGTAAAGTTTGGTGTAAACACCCAAGCGGATTAAAATAAACCTCCATACGTGCACAGTTCCATAATAAAATAAACTTCAGGCCACCTATTACTACATGACAAAAACTTAACTAAACAAACAAAGCAGGCTTCTTGAAGTTGTTGCATTTTCAATCAAATAAAATGTTAGTGTCACAGTATTGGCACCATTTCTGGAGACAAAAAGGATCAAATCTTTTAAATATTAGATGCCTCACGTTCAGTAGAACCTTTTGTTGGCCAAATGTTTAGCAGGTTTACAAGTTCCAAAAAGATCCAGCAGTGCAACACATGCTGATTTAATTAGGCTATCGCTCATCTTATCTCCTCCTTATGGTGTTCTGACTTCTGACTATAAATACCTACTCTGATTCTTCTATTCCATCACCAGTTTGAGATACCACTCATTAGAGAAAAAAAAAAAAACAATAAGAAATGGATTCTCTTTCTTCAAAACCCAATCACGTTCGATCAATCAGTTTGCCCGGGAGATCACACCCTACCACCCAGAGAGTTGAAGAGGAGCTCAACAAGCTCAAATCATTGGAAGTATCAGCTGCACCAGCAGCTGTGAGCAATGGTTTAATCGGTTTAGAGAAATTGTACAAGTGCATAGATGATCTTCTCAACTTGCCTCAAATACTTCAAGCCCTCTCTCAGAGTCTAAATGCAAAATGGCTTGATGATTTATTGGATAAATCAGTGAGGCTTCTTGATCTTTGTGGCACAGTAAGGGAACTCGTCTCACAATGTAAAGAAAATGTAAGAGATTTACAATCATCTCTTAGAAGGAGAAAAGGAGATTCAACTACAGATGACAGCGTTGAAAGATTTACCTCTTTCAGCAAGAAGATCAAGAGGGATGCCAAAAGATCTGTCTCGACTTTGAAACAAATGGATCAAGAGACTGCAGTATTGGTCTTGCTAGATGCAGATCAAGATACAGTAGCTGTGATTAGAGCACTAAAAGAAGCTAATGCAGTATGCCTTTCAACTTTCCAAATGCTATTAACCTTCTTGTGTGTACCCCTTTTGAAGCCTAAGCCATCAAAGTGGTCTTTGCTTTCAAGATTGGTGCAAAAAGAAAGAATAGCATCTGAATACCACGAAGAAAACATGAGCTTTGAAACAAGGCTGGAAACTTTCAAGGCTTACCTTGACAGCTTTGAAGATGGATTGGAAGCAACATTTAGGTGTCTCATTAGATCTAGAAGCTCGCTCCTCAATATTTCCTCCTCCTAATCTGTCAGTTCTTATTCCAAACACTGTAAATTGTATATAAACAGTTTTGTAGTTATGCTAGAAATACACAAATCTCAAGTGAATGAATATACACCAATTTAATATCTCTCTCTATGCGTGTACTTTCATCAATAGCCCAAAATATTCGTCGAAATGGCTCTCTTAAAACTGGGGGGCTTGAAATAGATAAAACTCATTGCCCGTCAGTTACACACTTACGCCACATAATTGGTTTTGTTAATCAAACCAAGGAAGCCTCTCGTGTAAAGCCAGATGACATGAATAATTGACCTGAAAAGTGATATTAATTCATAACATGAATTGCAGAAGAATGAGGTCTGTGTGGAGGAAGCTTCACAATAAGTGCTTGCTACACAGGCTTCTGGAGTTCTGCTAACAGTTCCTCTGCACAGTGACCCAAGGGTGTTAATAAACTCCACCGGCCTCCCCAAGATCCTCTTGATATAAAAGAAACCTCCCGCTATAAAGGAAGACCAAAACCTGGGTCCCTTGATCAGCCTCCTTGAACCTGAACTCATCAGTAAGATACACATCACAAATAAATTAGATAATATAGTTCATGATCTGCTTATCTTTAGTTAAAAGTCCAACTAACTATGACATGACCACCTTAACTTGACCATGTTGATTCAGTATCTGTTTGAATTCCTTCTCAAGTTCATTAGAAGATGTAGATCTAGTCAAGAAGCTAATCCTATACCATTAAATTTCATCAAGCTCCGCAGCCAATTAAACAAAAACAAAATCAAGATTCAAACTAGGATTTGGCATGAAATCACAGACAAAGCAGCCAATAGTGTTCTTTTGAACAAATTAATGGATCAATTACCCATGCCACTTTACTCGAAACAATTTCTGGCAAAAATTTACTCATTGGCCCTGGTGCAATTTAGTAATCAACTAGTTTTCCATTTCGAAATAAAATATGGCAAACAACCACACATACGTGTATAAATTAAATATACAGTACACGTCCATTTGAATATTGGCAAAAAATATCTTTCAGATCTTCTAATCTGTATTTTGTGTAATTAATGGACATCAGCTCCTCCAAACGAGACAGCCTCAGTGGACCCACGTTGTTAGCATCTTGATTGCACCACCAAGTGATGTGACAATGCTTAGTAGTTAGGGAAGGGGCAACCTGCAATTGAACCCCATATGAAGGCAAAGCCACATAATTTATTCATTTAGATGACTAATTATTAGAGCTTTTGTTTGCCAAATGCATAGCAATTTACCAAATTCCAAGGGATACCCACATGACCACATTTTCTCTTCTTGATACCTCTTTGTTTATATAAATGACCTTTCTTCGTACTTATTGTTCATCACAACATTCAGCTTTTCTCACAACATAGAAACACTAAAAACCATGGCTACTACTTCTTGCCATATTAGGTCAATCAGTTTACCCACTAGACCACACAATCAGAGAGTGGAAGAGATTCTCAACAAGCTCAAGATGCTGGAAGTATCTACTGCATCAACAGCAGAGACTATTTGCAGTCGTCTACTTGTTTTGGAAGACCTACACAAATGTGTTGATGATCTTCTTAACTTGACTCACCCCTCCCAACATGGAAAATGGTTTGAAGATTTATTGGAACAATCCATGAGAATTCTTGATGTTTGTGGCACGATAAGGGAATTAGTGTCACAATGTAAGGAACACGTAAGAGATGTAGCATCATCTATCAGAAGGAGAAAGCAAGATTCAAACACAGAATCCAACATAGTCAGATTCGCCTCCTTCAGAAAAAAGATGAAGAAGGATGCTAGAAGATTAGTCTTGTCCTTAAAGCAAATGAATGAGGAGACTGAGGGATCAGTGTTCCTAGATGCAGTGCCGGAAATAGCATTTTTTATTAGAGCAATGAGAAAAGCCAGTGCATCATGCATTCCGATTTTCCAAATGCTCTTGTCTTTCATGTGTGTGCCACTCTTGAAGCCTAAGTCATCTAAATGGTCACTGGTTTCAAGATTGGTGTATAAGGGAAGAGTATCATGTGAAGTCCAAGAACCAAATATCAACATGGAAACCAGGCTGGAAACTTTTGAGTCTCAACTGGATAGTTTTGAGAATGGATTGGAAAGAGTATATAGATGCCTGATTAGATCAAGGAGCTCCCTACTAAATACAGTTTCCTTCTAAACTGTATAGTTGACCAAATTTTGTATATACAATTTGTAGTTATGATAGAAAAGAACAATATACAAGTGAAAGATTATATGGAAAATCTAATCTGCGTCTTTTTTCATGATTTTGTTCCCCTCTGTGTGCAATTAACAGATATCTAAATTTATAATAGAATGATACTACTCTCGCATATCACAAGTTTCTAAGGCTGTTCCAACAACAGGATAAGCTTCTGAGTCTCCAATTTTTGTTGTCATTTTCTATAAAGATATAGCCATGAGAACCTAAAAATTCTTCAAAGATTGATGAGTAATTTAACCTATTTTGGGACCTAAATGAAATAGAAATTGATAAATTCTTCAAAGGACACACGTCATATTAATTCGGTTTGCAAGTATAGTTTTCATTGTGTTTGATTGTCAGCTTCATCTGAGATTATTTCGTTTTCAGAGAACCTTTAGTCTTTCTCCACATGCCAAATCCCTTGATGGATGAACAAGTGAAAACTAAAATTCTCATACTGTAAAAAAAGGGAACAATTTCACTTTATTGTATAGATAATCTTCTCCAAAGTTGCATAGAGTAAAAAAATGAAGGCATGAAGCTTCATAAAATATAATTGAAGGCATGAAGACAGCTTAATGTTTCACAGATATTAGAACTCACCTACCATGACAGAAACTGATTTAAGGGTAATATCTGGACAAAAATACACTCGTGTACAAATGAATATGAAATATTTCTTTGCTATTCGCTTTACCCACCATATCGTAACACATCCTAATCAATTAGATAATACAGCTCACAATCTGCTATTCTTTGGTTCATATCAACTACTTGTGGTCTGTGGAAACCACCATTAGTAGAACTAAGTAAATTTTGTCCTTTCTGAATTTGACCTCAAAATTATAAGAAGTATTACACCTTGTCAAGAAGCTTGTACAGATATGCTCCTAGCACCTTGTCAAACAAATTCAAATAACAACCTTCCATACGTGTACAATTCCATAAAATAAACTTCACTCGTGCAATATGAATTTTATATTTGATCTACTTGCCCCTTTTAAAGTCTTTGACACCTTAAAATATTCCCACTATTCTTTAATAATTTATATCTCAGTTATCTAAGCATTTTTTGTTCTAGTAGTTGACAGATTTAAGCTTTTATGGAGGGGGCAAGCTTAGGTGGCCACCTGTTACAGACAGAAACTAACTAAACAACTGAACAAGTAAAACAGGCTCCTTGAAGCTAATGCATCTTCAATCACATAATACCAATAAAAAAACATGTGTCATAGTATTAGCACCATTTCTGGAGACAGAAAAGGGGAATCTATTCAATACCCACGTGATAATGAGATGCCTCACGCTCATCCCATAACTATGAGGACTAATAAAAGTAATCAGCAGAGCCTTTGTTGGCCAAATGTGTAGCAGGTTTACGAGTTCCAAAAAGATCCAGCAATTCAATCACATGCTGATTTAATAAGGTTACTGCTCAATTTGTCTCCTCCTATGGCTGTCTGACTATAAATACCAACTCTGAAGCTTCAATTCAATTACCAGTTTGAGATATCCCCTCATCAGAAAAAAAAACCCATAAGAAATGGCTGCTCTTTCTTCAAAACCCAACCACGTTCGATCAATCAGTTTCCCTGGGAGATCACACCCTACCATCCAGAGAGTAGAAGAGGAGCTCAACAAGCTCAAATCATTAGAAGCACCTGCTACACCAAAAGCAAACACTGTGTACAATGGTCTACTCATATTGGAGAAATTATACAAAAGCATAGATGATCTTCTCAACTTGCCCACCCTTCAAACCCTATCCCAAAGTCTAGATGCTGAATGGGTTGACGATTTATTGGACAAATCAGTGAGGCTTCTTGATGTTTGTGGCACTACAAGGGAACTTGTCTCACAATATAAAGAAAAAGTAAGAGATCTTCAATCATCTCTCAGAAGGAGAAAAGGAGATTCAACTACAGATGACAGCATTGAAAGATTTACCTCTTTCAGCAAGAAGATCAAGAGGGATGCCAAAACATCTGTCTTGACTCTGAAACAAATGGATCAAGAGACTGCAGTACCAATCTTGCTAGATGCAGAACAAGATACAATGGCTGCGATTAGAGCACTAAGAGAAGCTAATGCAGTATGCATTTCAATTTTCCAAATGCTCTTGTCCTTCCTGTGTGTGCCACTTTTGAAGCCCAAGCAATCAAAATGGTCATTGCTTTCAAGATTGGTACACAAAGAGAGAATAGCACCTGACGTCCAAGAAGAAAACAAGAGCTTAGAAACCAGGCTGGAAACCTTTGAGGCTTACCTTGACAGCTTTGAAAATGCACTGGAAGCTGTATTTAGGTGCTTGATTAGATCTAGAAGCTCGCTCCTCAATGTTCTTTCCTGCTAATTTGGAAGTTGTTATTCCATACTCTGTAAATTGTATATGAACAGTTTTGTAGTTATGTTAGAAATACATAAACTTCAAGTGAAAGATTATATACCACTTATTGCATCTCTCTCTCAGATCAAAATTTAAAAGGTTATGCCCGTGAATTTCACCACAAAGAAAGCACTTAGCAGTCTCTCTATGTACCTGATGTCAGGTTAAGTTTGGGTTGTTCATATCCATTGAAATGGTCCACTTAAAACTAGAGGGGAAACTGATAAAATGCATAGCACATTCATTACATACATACTTTACATAATTGGCTCCAAAAATCAAACTAATTAAAGGTCATAATGAGGATGAAGAATTTCTTCATTATTCTACTTATCCACCATATTTTTATGCATCACTAAGAAGTTAGAAATATACCTTATGAGCTGCTTAATCTTAGTTCATAGTCCAGCTAGATATGGTGACCACTGTAACTATGGCAATCTTAATTTCATCATATGTCTTCTGCGATAATTGGAAGCACTAGATCTAATCAGGAGGCTTATTCAATCAAGTCCTTTTTTTTCTAGCTCCTTAGCCAAATTCAAGAAAAGAAAAGAAAATCAAGATCCAGCAAAAATATCTGGCACAGAGATCAGCGGGGCAAAACAGACAACATAACGTTCTTTCGAACAATTAAATGGAAAAAATAACACTGCCACTTCGTTCGACTCCATATCAGTTTAATCTGACAGACTACTGTGGCCTTGCTCAGCAAGCTTAATTGCGTTGCTCCCAAAAAGTCCACTAGCAGTCCTTGAAGACGACCTGTATGCTCCCCAAATAAAGATTTAAAGGGAACTTGACTAACTAAAATGTGGCTAGCACTCTTTTGAGGCTCAGCTTGACAACTTCAAATGTAATTTGGAAGGAACATAGGTGCCTGATTACATCACTGAGTTCTCTCCTAAAAATCTTCTCATGCTAATTGCGAAACTTTTATTGCACATGTGTAGTTGGCTAGTTAGTTTTCACATATATAACGTTCATGGGAAGCTTAACAGCCTTCCCTTTGACCTGTTGGTCGTGCCTCATGGTGCCCCGTGGCTAGCTATTAAGTGCATAGCGCCATGGACAGGCCTGCTAGATTTTGCAGAGCCAACTTACAAGTGTATCTGTGCCTGTGTCAGAGATCTTCAATCCTGTCAGAAGGAAAAAAGGAGACTCAAGTACAGAGCCAGCTTCACCAGAGGAGCCCAAAAGTTATTCCTGGTCTTAACTATTTAAATAAATGGATGAAGAGATTGGTGAATCAGAATTCCAAGATTCAGATTTGGACACTACCTATGTGATTAGTTACTAAGAGGAGCCAGTTTAGTGTGCATTTTAATTTCGCAAAAGAATAGCATATGAAAGTCATGCAAACAACATTAACTTTGAAACTTGGCTGGAATCCTTCGACCGTCACCCTGAGTGCTTTGAAGGACCATTTAGGTGCCTGATTAGATCGAGGGGCTGTCTCCTGAATATATTCTCTCCATCTAGTTCATTCTGCATTCTTATGTGTTCCTTTCCCTGCATACTTAAAAAATAAGATATCTCAGAGAGAATGTGAAACTCATGGTTTTAACTCATAAAAGTTCTGTAAAAAATATAAATTTCCCTCTCTTTGCCCTGGAGGGTGAGTTGTAGAGGAGAACAATTATTCAGTCAATAATTTGATAAACATTAAACAAGCACAGCAAATCCAGCCATACATGCATGCACAAAATTAAATATTTGAATTTCCAATACACTCATGTATCCATTATTGATTTAATTAAAAATTGCTAAGCCACCTACTGCTGAACTAATTAAAAGGATAGAAATCATAGCCATATCTTGGAAATCTTTGAGAAGAACTTCTTAGCTGTAATCTTCCAAATGGAGCCAAAGAAAATAAAAGGATATGATTGCACTGGCATGTATTAATTAGCTCTGCCTATATGATTTTTTATCTTTAAATTTTTCATACCGTAAGTTCTTAGTTTTGTTTCTAATTTAGGTAATAATTCCAATTTTATTGTTTAGTTCTTCACTAAAATCGCAGAGTACAAAAAATTAAAGCATGAAAAATAGGAAAGAAGACCACTCCTGCAATCTGATGATGTATTCCTTTATTATTTCACCTTGCCCACCATATAATAAAACATTTTAAACAATTAGATTATACAGCTCATATGTGCTCTTCTACAGGTGATAAATAAGCTACTCCACCCATTATTTTAATCAAGTACATTAGGCCTTTCTAAATTTCTCGGAATTATTAGGAACATTACATCTAGTTGAGAAGCTTATAGAGATATGATTCCAACCCCTTGCCAAGCAAATCCAAAAGAATACTTCCATACATGTATATGTTCCATAAAATAAACTTCAGTCGTGCATTATGAATTTTATATTTAATTTGCTAGCCCCTTTGAAAGTCTTGACACCTTAAAATAATCCCATTACTATGTAATTATTTATATCTCAATCATCTAATTATTGTGTTATAGTAGTTGATGGATTTAAGCTTTTATGGAGGAGACAACCTTACCTGGCTACGTATTACATGACAAACACTAACTAAACAACTGAAGAAATAAAGCAATCCAGCCGTGCAATCACATGCTTATTTAATTAGGCCACTGTTAATCTTGTCTCTCTTACTATGGATGTCTACCTATAAATACCAACACTCGAGCTTCAATGCCAACACAAGTTTTAAAACTCCCCTCATCAGAGAGAAAATCATAAGAAATGGCTGCTCTTTCTTCAAAACCTAATCACATTCGATCAGTCAGTTTTCCTGGCAGATCACACCCAACCACCCAGAGAGTTGAAGAGGAGCTAAACAAGCTCAAATCTTTGGAAGTATCAGTTGCACCAGCAGCTGTGACCAATGGTCTACTTGGTTTGGAGAAATTATACAAGTGCATTGATGATCTTTTCAACTTACCTCAAACCCTTCATGCCCTATCCCAGAATCTACATGCAAAATGGTTTGACGATTTATTGGATAAATCAGTGAGGCTTCTTGACCTTTGTGGCACAATAAGGGAACTTGTCTCACAATGTAAAGAAAATGTAAGAGATCTTCAATCCTCCCTCAGAAGGAGAAAAGGAGATTCAACTACAGATGACAGCGTTGAAAGATTTACCTCTTTCATCAAGAAGATCAAGACGGATGCCAAAAGATTAGTCTCCACTTTGAAGCAAATGGATCAAGTGACTGCAGTATCGGTCTTGCTAGATGCAGATCAAGATGCATTACCTGCGATTAGAGCAATAAAAGAAGCTAATGCAGCATGTCTTTCAACTTTCCAAATGCTCTTGTCCTTCTTGTGTGTGCCACTTTTGAAGCCTAAGCTATCTAAATGGTCACTGCTTTCAAGATTGGTAAACAAAGAAAGAATAGTTCCACTAGTCCTAGAAGAAAACATGAGCTTAGATGCCAAGCTTGAAAACTTTGAGGCTTATCTTGTCAGCTTCGAAGATGGATTGGAAGCAACATTTAGATGCCTGATTAGATGTAGAAGCTCACTACTGAATGTTTTATCCTGCTAATGTGGCAGTTGATATTCCATATACTTTAAATTGTATATACACAGTTTTGTAGTTATGTAGAAATATACAATCTTCAGGTGATTGAGTATACATCAATTTTGTGCCTTTTTCTCTATCTATATCTATATAGTAGTACATATGGAGTGTGCATGAATACTGCCATAAACTGTGTTAGTAGGACTATAATTCAAATACCTGAATAAGAGTCCAATTTATCATGTTATGCGTAGAGTTTTAGCGTATAGAAAGAGTTTCTGCAGTATTTGTCAAAATCTGATGTCCGGTTAAGTTTTATCCCCAAAATAGTTTTAACCTGCAGTGAACAAACTAACACAAGTCTCACAACAAACGCACTGCCAGGATGATAAAACCGGAGATATTACTCTACCTACGATACTAGATATGTTGATGGAACAGAAAGAAAATACTCCCTCCCTTTCAATTTGTTTGTCGGGTTTTGACTTGACACTGAGTTTAAGAAAGTTGCCCAAGACTATATAGGGATACAACAGTTTGTTCTCTCAACCAATGTGGAACACTTAACAATCCCTCACAAGCTCATGGCTGGACATCTAACACACACAGGGGTCCAACGTTGTTAACAGATCGAGCTGGACATCTAACATGACATGAGCCGCCAATATTGGAAAACAGAATAATGGGGATAAGGTCTTGTGTCTGATACTATGTTAAGAAAATGGACCTCAACCTGGAAAGCTAACTCGTGAGATAAGGATAGCCAAAGACCATATAAGTAGACAACAAGCTCAATCTCTGAACCAATGTGGGGAACTTAATGACCACACTACATATATGAGACATTATTTTGATGTTCATAAGACGCATTCCTATAAATGAAGCATCTAGAATATGCAACGTCCGAACAGAAAAAAAAAATCAAATTAATAGAAACAGAAATTATTGTGACAACATGTTTCACAAAAATAAATACAGCATACGAAGAAGAAGTCCAACTAACCTTCTGGGAAGAAGTTACACAGAAAGTAGTCTTCTTTAAAATCCTTTTGTTTGACTACATTATATAGAAAGAATATAAGCTTCCAGCTGCAATGGAACCCTATATGTTCAATGAAACGTCAAAAACAATAACCATGAAAAGTTCACAGGACTGATCTTGAAAAGAAAATGAATGTCATACATATATACACAGAATTTCCATCCTACGGCCAGTGGCCTAGACCCAAAAAAGGGGCTTTTATCAACTTACTCAAAGCATCATAAAGTCCAATATTAGCATACTGTATCAGTAACAAGAAAACAAAGATGAACATGCACGAAGTTGTACCAAAAACTGCAAAAATTAGTAAAGGGAACTTAAGGTTCGAAGATACCCATTATATAGGTGATAGATTCATTTCACAAATCCGAGCAAAAATTACATTTTTAAGTCTACCGGAGCAAAAACTATACTGACCTTTTGAAGTTACCGGCAAACAAAAGACATAATTTCAATCATTGGTTTGCATAGAAACGATCCCCAAGTCAAATGAATCAGTTTTTATTTTGATACCAACTAATAGGACTAATACAGAGACAAGGCAAGTAGTGCATGGACTAATTTATGTCCATCCCAAAAACTTAAAACCCATTTTTGGGGACTAAATAAACCCTAGCCTTAACAACTGATCCATTTCCAAGCTTAAACCCCGGACTAACCGGAAACCCAACAACTAGACCCATACCCATTCTCCCTCCTATCCCCATGGAAATGGAATACTTCACTACACTATCCATGTACTTCGGGTGAAACTCGGATCCATTGCTTGCCTCAAAATGACTTGGCGGAGGATCCAAAGAAAAGGCCAGCAAATGCAGCAGCCAAACGGTCTTTGCTAGCCCAAGAAACTCCCCGTAAAACTGACTCCTCGGATGGTTCCCAGTCAGTACCTGACGCCTCTGCTCCAAATCGCCAAACAGAGATTCCTCCATTTTGGGGTGTACAATGGCCAAATACTTCTTGAAACAGAAGTTCCCAAAACTGCAAGTTGGGAGAATCCCAAGAAGTTCCATTGGGTCCATTGCTTTCATGTCCCTGTACTGTGTAAAACACTCGCGGCGGTGCTGGTCTGGGTGGAGCAGTGATGACAAGCTTCCGTCCATGTAGAATGTCTCGTGATCGAATCCTTGGAACATTTTGCGGTTCACATAAGATTCCAGTGCGTATTTTGCGTGGTTGGCCCCGACAATTGAATCCACCGTTGGTGTGGTGGAGTTCGATGAAGCAGCTTCAATGGATCTCACTGCCGCCGCAATGTCCCAGTGAGCAGAGCGCATCAAAGAGAGGAGCAAACTCGTGAAGGATTTTGAGGCTTCTTTAACTGAGCTCACTGTAGATTCGAACAGGTCAGGTGCCGGCGACATATTAATTGGAGTTTGACTGCTGCAGTTAACTCTTCGTTTTGACTTGCTTTTCTTTCCACTATTGCTGCTAAGCAACGTCGCCGTTTTTAGCTTCTCCTTCAAATCATCGATCTCAATGTCCTTTGCCTTCACTTCTTGCTTCAGTTCTTCCACGGCTGACTCATACGGCGCCACCACTTCTCTCAGCGTCGCCGCCCCGACTCTCCAGTCCCCTCTTTCACTTCCACCGCCGACATTCCGCCGGAATCTTTCCCTCAACACTCCAAGCCTCCGCAGTTCAGATATCACAGCCACGTCAGCCACGCGCATTTTATCCTGATCCCATGGACAATGCGCCTCCTGTAGACTAACGTAAGCCTTCTTCATTGCCGACACTGCATCGAACACTTCCCCTAAAAGCATTTCCATTTCAATTACTTTCTCAGTTCTTATCTCCTCATTTTTTACCTCAAAATTCTGGAATTTTTCCAGAGTTTCCACATAAGGTGGGCGTTCTTCTTCTTCTTCGTCGTCGTCTTCGGTAGTGTACTTGTCATCTTCAGATTCGTCGGCGTCACGAGCACCGGAGATGTGGCCGTTGGAGGAAAGTGGATGGAGCAAGCAAGAAGCAGTGACACGTTGGATCAGATCCGAGAAATTGGAAACCTTGTTGGCCATTTTCTAACACAGTAGCAGCAATTTTGGGATCAAGAGTGAAAGAGATTAATAAGTCAAGGCCACTAGTTTAGTTATTTACTTTTAGTACCGATTTATTTTACAATTAACTGTCTCTCCAGTTCGTATCTTTCATAGAAAATAGTCAAAATGTCCTTTTTAATGTTGGTGATTTTTCTGTCCTCATCAATCTATCGGCTAAAAAATACTTCTAACCTTATCTTTTATTTCCAATTTGAACATATTTTAAATATGTCACTCCACTAATCGTAAAAGTCAGGTAAGGGTGTATTATAACTCTTTTAATTGTTGTTTGGATCTTTTAAATTGCTTAAGTATATGCATTGAACTTCTTAAATTTTCAAATGCATACTTCAAATTGTTGTATTTGAAACTTATTTTAAAATGAGATAAGAAAATATATAAGTATTATATATACAATAGAAAATTAAAGAACAAAATTGAAATTATACATTGGAGAAATAAAATACAGATCAGTTTTTTTAAAAATAATAATAATTCACTCATAGCATCGGTCAAATTAGCCCTTTAAATTTGAGATTTGAATCAAAATCATCCTTTTTATTTAGTGTGAAATATATTAATAGATCTTTAACTATTCAAAATATTTTTATTTATCTCATTTCGATTCTCGGGAACGATTAGGTTGGAGAGGATGAGCCGTTAGGGTGGGCGAGGGTTCTTTTTCCCCTTCTTTGGATTAAGAAGAAGTGGTTGGACTAAAATGGTGTGTGATCAGATCTGAAACATAAATTGATGAAGAATTGCTTTTTCCTTTACTTTAAAAAGGTTATGTATGAAAAAAGATTAATTACTTTTACTAGAGAAGTGTGTGTGACCTGAATTTAACGCTAAATTAGGAAGTTAAACTATGTATTCTTCTTTTTTGATTGGTTTATTTTCCATGTTAAAGAACGTATGTATATCTCACCCTCATGATGTGCCAAATCAGAGTGTTGAAGAGACACTTTAAAAGTAGGAGACCATTAACACTTTTCTTCCGATGACTCATTAGTCACTCATAAATAATGTAACACTTCTGGATACATCAATCTAAAGTTGATTTTCACATTTGTGCAAAAGAACTAATCATAGTGTATGACGAATCTTCTAGATATATAGAAGCATATACTTAATTGCTAGTATTATATAATATCCAGGCTAATAAGAATATTGAACTTTTTTTTTGGATGCATCAAACAAAAGTTTCCACTTTTTGCAAAAGAATAATCATAGTGTATGAGATTCTAGATAGGACCATATCCTTGCTATTTGCACATAATAATTTTAAACAAACAAAAGTTAAAGGCTTAAGTCATCGACCGCCCCTTAAAATTGTCCGCATAATTTACTTAGACACATTAATTAAGATTTGTACCTATTGAACACTTAAATTGTTCAAAACATGTACCTATTAAACACAAAATGCTGATATGGCAAAAAATGTGTTTTGCACTTCCCTGAAGACAGTGGCGGAGCCACCTTACAATGAGGGGGTTCATCCAAACCCCCTTCAGCGAAAAATTATATGATTTATACATGGTTAAAATAATTTTTTAGGTATATATAGTAGATGTCGAACCCCCTTCGACTACTTTATGTGTCTATTTTTTAGATTTTGAACCCCCTTATTGAAAATCTTGGCTCCGCCTCCGCCACTGCCTGAAGCGCGTGAAAAGATTCAAAATAGTGTATTTTTGAATTCCTTTACATTTTTTCTTCTTTTATTGACACTTGGCATTATAATTAACTTAAAAACATTTTTCTTCTTTCATTTACAATTTTTTCAAAAAAGAAAAAGACCCCACTCCCTACCTATCATCTTCTTCATACTTTAGTTTGCAAAAAAAATTTCATTTTAGCTCCAACATTGTTTTTCTTTCTTTTTTATAAAAAAAAGAATATTATTTCTTCCAAATATGAAGATAAATGAAAATCAACTA